ACAAAAGAAAGCCAGTTGAACTTTGCAAGGAGTCAGTATTGTGAGCTCATGACCTTTCATACGAAGTACTTAGAGGGCAAGTGGGAGGTAGCAGAGTCTGGGGAGGGAGACTATATGCTTCACCTAAGCATAGGGAAATAAAGGGAGACAAATCATTTAAATTTAAAAATACAGCAAATGTGCTTGTTAAATAGACAGTGAATGTGTGATTCTCTTTCAGAGTATTTCAGCTTCAGCCTTAATGATTTGAACTACCAAACAGGCAAGATTTTCCTTACAGAAGTCTCTGAGACAAAAGGTGATCATAAATAATTGGCTAAAGTAACTCCGTTTTGCTCTTCGCTTTACTTCCTAAAGTTGCCAATTATTTCAAATTATGTATATAAATTTTGCGATGTGGACTGTTATGTCCATGGGGAGATGTGCTCAGGCTTTTAAACTCATTTCCTCTGGCCCTTTTACTTTGGTCTGAGCCCAAAAGTGTTTTATGGGCCTCATTGGTAGAGGTAATGGGTTTCTCTGGATCAGGTCATGCAGGCTGCATTACACCAGACACAAGTCAGACATGTAGAACAGTGCAGAACAGACTTGGAGTCTCCAAGACGCAACAGATCCACTAGACTCTCTAACCCTACAGAGTGATTTGAGCAATGTCTAAATCAGCCTGTGTTACCACTCAGGGCAGGTTACTCAGCAGGTTACAGCAAAGCTGTAACCTGGGCTTTAGCAGGAAAGATTTTCCCAGACCTCGCAGAACATTAATCCAGTTTGTGGCTGTGGCTTCCCGTCTGGTGTACATGAATGCTCAGGAATCTGTGGATGCATTCTGAAGGCTCTGCAGAGGTAGCGAGGAAAAGCTTAGTTTCAGCAGGCTTATGTTTGCTATGCAGATGTCCCCATCTCCACCAAAATCCACAGATTACAGAGCTTGATTTAAGACTTTGCTCTCATATATAACAATTTCATACTAATACTTTTCAGATCCTTATTCACAGATAGATTTTTTTCAGCAGGTTCAGAACACGTTTCCAATGCTTACTAAGCAGTCCTCACCTGCTAAAAAGTCCCTGGAGTTATTTTGTAATGTCTAAAATTGTGTGAAAACCCAATTCTGCTTGGCATTGCCTCATGTAAATCAAACTCTGAATAACAAAAAAATCTTACTCTGAGGGGGATGCAGGAGCAACGAAACAAGACAGTGGGCAACAAGGACACTGAGAAAGAAGCAGCAGAATATTTGACAAAATAGAAAATTGGGGAAGGAGAAGGAGAAGGAGAAAAGGGAAGACCGGAAAGAAGCAAATCTAGAAAATAGCCTGTAAGAGTAGAAAGTCACACTGATTCTCATTGCACCATCTCTTTTAGCCTGAAAGACAGCAAGGTCACGGTCTGCAAATGTTACACAGATGTGGTGGCAGGGATGTGGTGGCTATGAGTTGGCATCTGGCAACCAGCACCCCTTGGTTCCCAGCCAGCTCTGCTGTAGCTCTGTACCCATGTGGTTCCTGGGGCAGGGACCAGACCCTCCTGCAAAATGCCAGTCACATTACTGTCATCCCATAAATTACTAGTAACAAAACAGATGACAGGTAAGTACAAAAAAAATGTGTCTTAATTTAAAGCAGGCAAGTGCCCCGCTCCGAAAAGGTTCATAACTGCCCCAGGAATTCAAAACATATCTTTTAGCACAAACTGTCATAGGAGAGTATCAGAAAGTGTACTAAGGAACATGTCACCCCATGTCATTGCACATTTATCAGCATCTGAGGATGGAGACTACATAGTGGCCCCTTGGAAGGATGGATCAGTCAAAGATGGAGGAAATCTGGCAAAGCCTGGTTTTCCAAGTAAGATAGCAGAATAGCAGTTTTGGGGAGCTCATTTTAGCCAAATGAAGGGCTTTGCAGCTAAAGCCCTTTCTGGAGAGTGAACAGAATGTCAGCAGCACAAGGAGTCATCATTCCCAAGGGCATCTTTCTGATGGCTGCTACAATACCCTAGTGTTTCTAGACACAGAGAAAGAAAATGGTCCCTGAGACATCAGAGAGGGTGATGGTCAGGGTAGAAGAGAAAATGCAGACAGCCAGTCTGGTGCTGGGATCATCTGATGAAGCACTCAGAAGCAAAACCTGTTTCAGGAGAAGATTCTGGCTTGTCAAGAGCAGAATTAATTACAAAGAAACACCAATTAGTATGATTTTAAATATTCCTCTAAAATACGCTATAAATTGTTTTGCCCTTGGGAGAACCAGAACAAAAGACGAGCATAAAACTGCAGGCAAAATGCAAAAGTCTCCATCTCACTGTGCAGGCAGATGGAGTTATTTAGTAAATCCTCTACTGTCTTCTCTGGGCTACAAGAAAAGAAGAAAAAAAAGCTGCCCAAAGTTTCAGTCAATATTTACCTCTTGGGTTAATAAATTGTGATCCTGACCTCAACAAAAGTCAATATCTTCTGATTATTATACTCAGGCACCTTTTTATTTGTACTTACTCATTGTATAATGAGCCACCCGTTTCCACTGGCAACTTCACTTTCATTTTGAATGTCTGAATTGAACAATCATTTATACTCCAAAGGCAGAAGACAAAATTACTATAAACTAGAGCTGTAAAATGTGGACATAGGTTGCTATTTCCAGTGAATAAGCAAGCTTGGGTGGGGGGCGGGCAGAAGGGATCAAGGATTAAGTACAAAAAATAGCTGGTTTAAATCCTCTTTTAAATACCTTTGAGTGACAAGGAGCAGAGAGAGGAAAGCTCTGAACTGTGATATTAAATACAATTAGGCTGCAAGTGTAGAAGGAAAGAAAAGTCAACAATCTGGTCTAAATAGTAAACTTATTTTAATGGAACGTTATTAGGCTTTCTCCCTGATACAACCAAAAGCAACGCCAGAAAATATATGCCAAGGGCAACAAGTATAGATTCACACACTTGCAAGCCAAGCCACAAAGACAAATCTGAATGAAATTCACCACACACTTGCTGCTTCATTAGAGGTGGACTAGGCCAGAGCTAGAGGAAGAAAATTCAAGATGTTACTCTCATAATTATGTAATGTTTCATATAATACCACAGGTGTTCACCGTGCTTTCCTGAAAGAAATCAAAGCACAGCCTCCCCCAGCAAGATCAAGAATCAGCTAGAATCACATTTTTGCTCTTCAACTTCTCATTGTTTGAACATCACCCACTGACTATAATAAAAATGTTCTTTGGGCTTGCAAGGCTTGTGATGGAAAGATTTTCACCCACATAACCCACTATGCCCATCTCTTTTTAAAAAAGTAAGTAACTTTACCAGTTTAAGTTTGTCTGGCTCGACATTATTCTACTCTTAGTCTCACTCTGGCAAACAATGGGGAGAGCAACTCATTTCCAGCTTAAACACAGTAATTTTTGAAGAGTGGAAAATCAGGAACAGCAAATTATGATCAAATCAATCATGATCAGGCTGTCTTTGTGAACGCTAATAAACCCCACATAAATAATCCTAAAGTATTACTTCTAAAAACCACATTATAGATCTGCATGGCACTACTCTGATACCACATTACCTTGTATTGCAAACAAAACATAGTTCACTATGGCCAAAGTATATAATGTTGTACTCATAGGAAAATGAGTGCAGAAGCCCTGTTTTCAAACTAGAAAAGAAGCTGTCATTTTCAGATGGGACATTCAGCCCAATATTTATCAGTTCAATAAATATTTTTTTATTCTCTGTTAAAACTGTGCTTAAATTGTATATATTCAAAAAGGTGTATCTCCTCCAGAAGGAGCAGAGTTGGCTTGCTTAAGCTTCAGGAAAAGGATGTCATCATAAGTAGATTTTTCCCTTCTACTTCACAAATCCAGCTTATAATTCACTTGCTATAAGCACATTTTAAATAGAGACTAGCAGACATAAAGTCATTTAGACAGCTCATACACCAAAAAGCAGGTGAATTTCCAAAAAAACCCATAAAACCAGATTTTTAAAAAATCTCCCCCCAAGAAGCCACAAGCCAGAACCTGACCACACTGAAGCTCAATAAATTAGAGATTCATTTTATATTGTCAGACCTGATCCTACTAAATTCAGACGTCTTTCACCATTAACTTATTTGAGATCCTTTATTTCCATCTAATGACTTTATCAGCAATTGCCACCATTATCACATTGGTGCCAACAAGTAGACATGCTAATTCGTGTGCCATTAAACAGCATGCATATCCATAGGGGAAGGCTGGAAACTGTCTTGGGAATGGAAATTAATGAAGTTTCAGTACGTTTGAATAAATCTGTGGGCACTGTGTTGCTACAGAAGATTTTCATCAACAGCCTTTATAAGAGTTTGGAAACAGCAACTAATTTAAACACATCAGCATCAACAGACAGAAACTGCAATAAGGTGGGCAAAACACAGCCAGATGCTGTGATTTCTGAAAACCTAGCGTGCTCCCAGGGAGATGCGTGCTTTCGAAAAGAAATTATTTCTCCGTATGCTTTAGCAGACGAAGTCAAAGTATGTTATCTTGTAGTGAATGGAAAGACTCAGAGATAGTGGGACATTCCATAGCTTTAGTTGACTGTGGTTGGAGCCCAAGATACTCTAAGCCAAACTTCTTCATAGAACCCTTCTCTGGCCAAACGCAGAGTAATTTATATATTTGTGGTGCAATAAGCAAATGTATCCCAGTCAGTTTGTCCATGTTGGGTAAGAGTGCAAGCTGAGCTTCTTATTCATGTTTTGAAGGGAGGCCACTGCACTGTCTGCCAATACCAGCATCCCCAGCCAGATGCACTATTGATATGCTATAGGTACCAATGATCATTCTGTATTAAGAGAAAAATGTAGCTATGGCATTTTTAATGACCACAAAATGGTTTTTTTCCTGTGGTTTCTCTCTTTGCTGTTCAAAGAACCAAAGTCAAAGAACCTGAAACAATGGTCAGCCTTGTGGAAAACTAAGGCTGCCAGGTCATACAGTTTTAGTCAGAGAAAAAGTGTTTACCTGCATGCATATCTTCAACTGGGCAAAACTGGGGATGAGACAGTTGCCCTTCCCTCCTGTACACTTCCAGAACAGAAACTGCATAAACAGAGAGAGGAAATAGCATGTGTCATTTTTTTGCAGGGAATCTGAAGATACTGCTCTTGCAGGAGATACAAGTCTCAAGCTCTCTTTCAACATGCTGAGGCCTGACAGAAGAGTAGATAATTTCCATGATGATATTTCCATGAGGTTATACAGAGAGAGGAGGAGAACTTCTCCAAGGAGGGCAAAGGTTTCAGCCATCGGCCTCAGTGCGGTAATTCACAGCTCGGAACGCCACCACAACCAATACCAACAATGTGGAAGTGCAGAAAGCAAATGAACCAAATAGTGCTCTCACCAGAGAGCACCTCACCAGGAAGCAGAGCACATCTTGGTCCCAGGGTTTGGATGGGGTGATTATTCCTCTCTGCCCTCTGCAGAAGGAAGTTTCTCTCCTGCCCCCAGCAGCACCACGCTGGCAGTGGAGCTGTGCCGGGCACTGCGCAGGCACCATGGCACAGGCAGGGGCTCCACTGCGAGCTTTGTGCAGCCTTCTCTGCACTGACACCAGGCCACAGAGCGTCTCCAAGATAAGGACAGCAAGCTGGAGTTTGTTTTTAAATTCACAGCAAGCCAGTGCAAAGAGCAGAGAATATGTTCGATGCATTTATCATAGCCTGTGCTGCTAAAGAGATTCAGTGAGTCTCCTAAATTAGTACAAGCTCCTGAATCCTAAAGAAACATAGGAGGGTCTTGTGAAGGAATGAAGGAGGCAGACAGTTTCTGCAATGGAAAACAGCAAATTATTTTCGTTAGAGGATTTTGGAGTTCCTGAAGGATCATTTCTACTGGCAGCCAAGATACTAACAGCTATAAACATTATAAAATAGCAATTCAGCAGTTATTTCTTCAGTCACTCTCACTATGGGATGAATGTGATTTTAATTAATAAGCTTAATATCTTCAGTTGGATGGATTTCTGTTTTCTTCTGTGCTCTGTCTCCTCTTTGTTTTTCCAAGCAATAACCTAAAATATAATGTACTGTCCAGAGCGTAACGGAGTGGACTAAAATATAAGAATCATAAAAATACTTGTTTACAATACAAGGTATGGATTAATATTAGCAAGTGTTTCAAAGCAGTGAAAGAACATTTGCAGCCCCCACCTTTATGATCAAGTAAATCCTAGCTTTATGCAGAAAATAATATTCAATAAGGAATACAATCTAAATCTTGAATTATATAAAAATCACAACACGTTTTTTCTGTTCTCCTCTAAAATTCAATAAATAGTTCAATAGATCATCTTTATTCCTTTCACCCTTCTGGGGAAAAAATGATTCTTAGGCAAAGAGCTTGCAGACGAAATTTCAATCTGAAAATAACCTTTATAGCTGAGTTATAAAACAATGAGAATAAGAGTTTATGATGTGAAAGTTGATGCAGGCTTTACTGCTTTGGCATGATTGTTGAAGCTGTATTAAAAATAAATATATTATAAAAAAAAAAAACCAGAGAAAAACCACGGCCATTCTCTATCCTTTGACTAACTAATAGAAGCTGTATGCTATCACAGCCATATAAATCTAAAGTCTTAAACCACTCCGCCCTTATTATCTCTTCCAAAAGAAAAATGCTTATAATAATACATATATTGACTTTAGCTTTTTGTTCAATAACAAGATTTACTGCCCCACTCTTCAGTCAATTGTAACCTCTTTGGGTCAACAAATCTCGATACTGATCTCAATAGAAGTCAATACCTGCTTATTACTTACCTCCGCATTTAGACGCCTATCGCAAATTCTTATGGGCATCCCCCTGACAAGCAGAAATGAACACTTTCTCTTTAGTTTTTATACAAAATAGACTTATGTGCTTTTCACACAGTCATTTTTAAAGCCATGAGATGATGTTGTTGGAAAACAATATTATACATTTATTTCTGGAACTAAGATATAAAGTTGTTTGGCTTCTCTGTTGTTTCTTTAAAAATTCAGAGACTGACTTTCTTGCAATTCCTACTTTTTTCTCCCATGTAAGATGTAACTCATCAATCTGATATTTTGGCTTGACCAATGGAGAATGGTAAATAAGAGTAGAATTGAAAAGCTATGTAATGATACGCAAACTACCATCTCAGAAGTTCAATGGAGAAACATATCAATCACTTTCTTAGTTGCATTTGTACAAGGCTAACATAAAAAATGAGGCTGAAAATCACTATCATACCTGCATTTGTGTATGAATTGATTCTGTACTTACATAGAGTCAATCTTTGTATAATCTATTTGGTACCTAAAGGGTCAAACATTTGCTATGAGAGGATAATCAAATCAGGATTTTATGTCTCATATGTGAACAGATTAAATGGGTATCTATTTACCATACAATCCAAAGGCTTGTATAAGAATCTTATCACAGAGTTGGACAATGAGAAATGCACTTTTAAAATACTGTCTCATTCAACTTGGTCTTGAAAATTGGATTTACTTACATCATGTGTGTAAGTAAATAGGAATCTGTTTTATTTCATAATGGAAACTGAGAAAATACCGGTACAGAAGTCTTGAACAGATGGCAAGGAAATGTCAGAAGTTATGTTCAAAAGTGCCTTTAGAAACATCTGAAGCACCTGCATCACTGTACTGGTCCTTTCCAGTTGTACTTGCAGTATAAGATTAGTTGTGTCAAACACAGCAGACAACAGTTGGAGCAATGACCCAAACCTTGAATACTATTATTTTGCTCTCTTGTCTTGAAATCTTCCTTTCAGAACATCACAAATGGCAATGAGAGTATTTGTACTTCCATCAATGGAAGGACGGTAAGAACGGAAGGATAGAAAGAAAATAATGACTAGGAAAACTGTATACTGAAGACGTAAATATAAAATCAATTTTTAAGTTTTTCTTTTTAGCCAAGCCAGTGCAATTCATATAACAGTATGTAAGGCTTCCTTAATGTTGCACATTCCCATTGCTGTCCCATAACATTTGCATTATCCAAGGTAACATGAGGCTATGCAATCTGCTGTAACTGCTTTCTTGCATATGCCCATTAAATCCCAGAGTCTGAAAAACTTCCATAAACTGAAAATTTAGATGTGGTTCATGCACAGGAGATCCCATTCTCAAAGTATTGACACCAGGTTTGCATATACCATAGGGATAAATGTAATGTGATGCATGAGAGTCATGCCTGGACTTACCCAAGAACTGTATTTGACTAACAAGGTGAGCCAATTCAAAATTAAATAGTTTTTCAGGCTAAACAAAATCAATATTATTTATAGGATGTGATAGTAGGCCTGAAAAAAACATTTCTAGCTTTCAAAAAATAGATAAAGCTCTATATTGATTTACAAAACATAAGGTATTAGGCTGCTCAGATACACAGAACTGTCATGTAAAAGATCTAGGTCAAGAAACACCAATAAAACTCCCATTCATCTCACTAGTCAAGAAGCATAGTGAAAGGTCAAGCAAGGTTAAAGGGCTCTGTCTAGTGTCTGATATTCCTGCAGGATGACAAGTTATTCTTTATGACCAGGTTTAATGACTATCTCCGACAGTCCACTGAAGACTGTCAGCTCTCTGGGCTGAGGGGCTGCAGCAGGGAGGCATCAAGAGCTTCTATCACACCCTATCCCCAACCGTGGCTGACCCTCTGCTGAGCCCAGTCTAACGACAATGCCATCATTTACACCCTCACATCTAGAGAACCGGATCTATAGGATGTTTTGATCTAAACCACACATGGATACATAACTAGGAGACAAGGTAAACCCACCTTCCTCACCCCATTCTCTCTGTTGTGGATCTCCATGAGAAGGAGGAGTGCAAGTGTGCTGCTGAAGAGCTGACAGAGTGGGATGAAGCCAGGAGTTATAATCAAAAATGTATACAACCCAGAGCTGCTGCATGGAACTTCTCTGTGCATACCAGGAAATAGAGCAAAGCTCCATTTAACAGGGAGAAAATGTTAAAAGTAAATTACAATAGTTTCCACAGAGTAGAAGAATCCAGGACTTGGTTTCTGTTCTAGCGAATGGTGAGGATTGTATTTATTGAACTTGACTGTAGTACATTTCATTCACAGGAACTGATATTAGCAAAACAATCTCCAAATTAAAACATTAGTGCATTTTTATGTGATACTGTTTAAAGTGTGTAGACTTTGGATACCATAATGTGAAAGATGAAGGATATAATGCTGTAATATGAAGGATGACAATAATTAACACAGATGAAGTACTGGTAGAAACACAGCAGAAATTTGACAAAGATCAGAATAAGAGAAAGTGAGGGAAAGAGAGGGACACCAAAAGATATTTCTTGAGGGCAAAACTAAGGTTAAAGGATGGTCATTAATGTGTTACTGATGCTCCACTGTTATAGTGAGGCCTGTGCAAGTGAATATAAAATAAATGCTATATATACTAATAATAGTTGTGTAGCACCAGCTAGATGTAAAGAGGCAGAGGACAACAGGAAGACTGGTCTAAGAGCAGAGACATTCTGCCCTGATTGTGGCAAAGACCTTGGAAAATGCTCAGAGGGAAGAAATCTCCATGGAGATTCACGAAAGCTGTTCCTTATTATTATTTTGAGGAGATATTTCTAGCCCTGCACAAGCCTCGAGGCCCATTCACATTTCCCAAAAAACCTTGAACATGAAATCTAACTTTGAAATGGGAAGAGCTAAATGTAAGTGGTGGTTTACAATTTTCTGAGGGAGGATGTGGGCTATTTACAGATCTGTATGTGCAGTGGCATCACAACCCTGCTACCACGCCATGGTTCCAGCTTTGTGAACCCATCTTGTCCAAGAATCTCCTGAGAATTTACGGTATCACGTCTCCACCCATCATGTTCCAGGTTTGGTTTCAAAGTATCTTCATGTTAGATTATTGTACTAACAGAGAATTCTGTAACAGTGTATTTATAACCCAGAGATGAGCACAGAGAGGCAAATACAGAATTCCTTGGTTTACTCTGTGCTAACATACACACCTAATTTTTTGAAACAGAGTTCAGTTGGTCAGGTTATAAACCACTGTCACTATTTGTAAAACCTGAGGTCCCTCACTAATTCCTATAGCTGCAGGATTAATAGGACTGATTATGGCTAGCATTTGACTTGATGATACTTTAGTTGAAAATGTTCAGTTGTATTGACGATTTTCTACCATCAATCTTTTAGATGACAAGAGATGATGAGGTTGATGGAGCTACCAATGCAGCCAAATTTTAAATGGGGTTTTGACTGCAAGGGTTATTGTTATGGGAACCTCTCAGGTTCCTGCACATATTTCACTGGTAGAAAGAAAAAATTACTATTGTGTTATGTATTCTGTTCAAGTTTCTCACTTTGAAATAGTTATGATTGTCATCCTTGGCCAGGTTTAAATTGACATTTTTATCACAACACTCCTGGCATGGTACTGCAAGTTACTTGCTTGTGAGTAGTTATCAGCTGGCAAAAATTTAAAGGGAGGTTGGCTGATTAAAATTATATACCAAGAGCTATAAGGAGGCAACAAAATAACCAAAAGCAGCCAAAGGGAGCAAGGATTCTTTAAAAAAAAAAAAAAAAAGAAAAAAATCTTTTCAGAGAAAGGAAAATTATACATGCAAAAGTCATAAATCACACATCTTCATTTAATATTTTATAATCAAAAAGCTAATAATTAAAACTGGGAGGGTTAGGTCAGTCAAGTTTTACAGCTGAGCGCACTTCCTGAGCATGCCCAAATCAACACTTATGAGATTAATTTATAAGCTCTTCAAATTCTGAATCTCCAAGGTTTATGCTGTCTGTGCATTGTTTGCATAATGCAGTTTTATACTACTAAAGCACTGTAAAGGGATTATTTTCATATTCAGCATATTAAAGATACAGCACAATTCATAGATATCGTACTGTGTTCATGCCTGAGATAGCAGGTACAGCGTCTCGCATTCTGATTATCTACGAAGCAAATGTAGAAACGTGGATGTTTTGGGAGAGAGTGTATCCTTAGTGAAATTAATTCCCCAATGGTTTTATTAAAGTCTGCAAATTACATTATTTTCCCATCATATTTGAAATATTGCACTTCCTTAATGCTTGCTCTAACCCATGGCATGCCATCTTCCCTGGGGTGTCTAGACATGGTGTCTTAGATTTATGTGTATGATCTCAGTGTGTTACAACATCACTCCTGACTAATGCATTATTACAATACTTACATATATTCCCAAGTGTCACTGTTTTGATTAAAAAATCACCAATCTGCATATGCACACCATCTGTGCTTCAGAGAAGCAAAACATGCAGGATAACATTTGCCTTACTCCAAAGGAAATTCAGATACTACTGAAAAAACAAATGGGAACCCTTTCTTATGTTTTGTTTTGCAAGGCAACAAAGAAAATGAATACTGTTTCTACAAAACAATAGTCCATGCCTCTGACGCTTTAAAACATAAGCCTTTTCCACTCTACACAGTAAGGAGATTTACCTTTAGTGAAAACACGCAAACAATCTGCCCTTTTAGAGATAGCAAATAACATGGAAGGGAAACGTACTGCTGCAATGAATTTTAAGAATCTCAGCTCAGATGCAAGAACGGGGGACTTTTCAGCAGAAGGGAATGTTGTCAGCAGCGAGTCCTTTCTCAGCTGAAAGCTGCAAGAGTGGTTGTAAAAGATGAATGAGGCTCTTGCTTACTGGGGTGAAATGCTTTTAAAGGACAAGAATCTGCTTATCTTTGATTGATTGCTCAGTCTGATACTTTCCTTTATAAAGTTTATTGACTACAAGCCCATAAATCAAAGAAAAACAAATCACAGGTTCAATTTGGGGGGCATTGACATCCTGCCATCTTGCAGCAATAGCTTAGAAGTCACAGGGCAGGGAAGAGGAGGGATAGAGGGGACTCATGGAGACAAAAGCATTTATTTCAGGCAAACCATTATTTAAAATGTTTGTAAATGATAATTCATTTGTGCCCTACCACATCTTTAAGTCAAGAGAAAAATGCAGACAACCAAGCTACCCAGATTATCATTCCAAAGTCCTTAAATGCAGAATTTACAATTAACAGACATAATTCTCACTGTGCTGTTGCACGTCTCTCTGGTTCTGTGAGATTACAGTCACATTCCCACACATTCCTCACCCGCTGTAAGAATGTTACATTTACAATTTAAACTATCAAAGCAAGACTCAGATTTCTTTCAGGTGGCTCTGAGGGCTTGGGAAACTCAAAATCTGTGTACTGAAACACCCCATACAGTTGCATGTAAGGAAAGTACTAACCATAGATCTTTCTCATATGGGACATACAGTATAATATGACAGCATGATAATACAGATTAATTTGTGCTGTTGACCTTGACACACTATTCTATTGTGTCTTCTTTGAAAGTCAGCACTCAGGTCACTAGAACATCTGGTGTTGAACAAAAAAATCCCATTCTGAAGTGCTAAATGTGTTGAAACAAATGGTACTGTACTATCATTATACAGTGCAACCTCACTGCTAGGGGTCTAATTTCAAGGCTACCCTGACTGATCTACATTATTATTAGCGGCTTTGTAATTCACATCTTACCACAGTACACAAAATACCTAATTATCAAAAGTAGCCTTTTAAAAGCTGGATTGTGTTCCATGTAACTGGGACTGACTGTCACTTTCTTTCCATTTTATCTTTGGAGACATCTGGAAGGGCTAAGCCTGCACACTGCTGAACATCCTGGCCTTGACCCAGCAGAGCACTTCAGCATTCACATGCATTTGTATACACAGATAGCCTCTATAAAGGAAGACATGCTTTTAGGTTACGTATTAGCCCACCTTGTCAAATGTATGAACTGGGTTCACCACATCAGCTGGAAATTGCACAGTGCTCAGTATTGTATCTGGTCCATCTTATAACCTGTTACTTTCAGCTTGTGCTCAAATCTTTCATAGTGGTCAGCACTGGGAAAGGTTGATGCAACCTTTTAGGAGAAGGCCGAAGACTGGGAAGACGATTGGTAGCAAAAAGTAGCAGCTTTGTTTCACAGGAGTATTTACATGCAAAAGGTCATGACTGTGCCCTAGAAGGTATCCCAGCCTCACTTCCCCTCTGACACCACTGCCATCCCCATGCCTCTCTACCACCACTCTGCAAGCTCTCTGTTTCCTGCAGAGATTCTCCATGTAACCAAACATACAGTTTGTGTTGGTAGGATCTTGGGGAATCTCACAAAGCTTCCGTGGGAAGGATTAAGCATTTATAGGGGTCTGATGACCTTTACCTGACCTAAAGCAGGTCACAACATCAATTAGCACTTCAACTTTCCCAGTTTGGATACACAGAACCCAAGCTGGGCTCTTCCAACTGTGCCATGAGTCACGGTGGGCTGATTCTCCCCTGCTTCACAAACCTGAAAATTTATGTCCCAGCAAAACAATTATGAAATGCTACTACTCTACCTTTTCACCTAATTTGCCCTCGCTCTGCAAGCAGAAAGAAATTAGCCCTGAGAAACACACTAGTAGCCAAATACTGTGCATCTGACAATACCAACATTTTTTTAATAAGGTGAAAGAAAATCTTCACTATCAAGAGCATGGAAAATTACTATAGGCATCTATGAACTAAAACATGTTCAATGCCTGACAAAGGACCAATACCTTCAGCTGCGGAGAAAGAGTACAGCAAAGGCGAAAGCGCAGGTGTATTTACAAAGAGCAAGGGATGCGCACGCTGAGCCAAGCAAAGATGGGGCAACAGGAAGAGGCTCAAGGTCGTTCAGCACAGGAAAGTAATGACACAGGAAAGTAATAGCCCAGAAAATGCCTTTGACTCACAGCAGGGCTGGAGGAGAAGGTATCTGTTACGCTGTGGCTTAAGCCCAGGTGAAGTAATTTCCAGTTGTTTTAAATAAGATTTCTGCTACGAGGTCCCAGCTGATCTCCATGAGAAGTTTATTTATAGTTACTGAAAAGAAGAAAAAAAAAATTACACCACTGAATGAGAAGACAGCATTAAGCAATCAGTCACTAAAGACCTAATCTCATTAACTCCTTCTAAGATTTCAGCCATCAGTCTATAGTTGGCAGCTGGTGGAAAACTGAGTACAATGAGACCTCTTTTAAACATTAGTTTTTCAGGCCATCTTCCTGATCTTTTATACTTGTTTGTTCTGCAGTTTCTTAGAAGCTACAAGTGCTGAAGGAAGTAGAGAAAATCTAGAAAAAATATAACCTGCTCTCCTATGCAGCTTCATGCCGCTGGGTCAGTGATTTACAAAGACAAGGTCCTGCTGCAGGGAAGCTAAATGGAGTTCATTATGGACATGGAAGTTAGCAGGGCCAAAAAGGTGAGGCTCTAGGAAAGAGGATGAAATAAGAGCCTAACAAGTGTGGATTTTACTTCCTCGGTGCAATAAGGACAGCTTTTAACTACCAACTACTCTAAAAGATAATATATCTAGACAACAGTTCCTTTAAGATAGGTATTGTTCCTATATACTACAACCATACTGTTTTGCATATAGTCAGGAAAATAAAAATCATAATGTATTACTTAAAAAATTCTGTGTTGTGCTGCAATGAGAATCTTTGATTTGCAGACTGAAAATTTGGAAAAATTAGTAAAATGGAAGCAGTTAAGTGGAGTGGAATGATGCCATTAAACCTAGATAGGGACATCAACCTCAAACCCCCACAAATCTATGAGTTTGTCACCAGGGCTCAGTGCCTTGGGAATGCCAGTGCTTCCTGGGGGTACTTCCTAGCAGCTGCAAACTTTCCGGAGAGGGAAACCAGACAGCTTGCTCCTACAGCACTGACAGAGCCTGGAACTACAGCCAGCAGACACCGAGATATGAGAGGATTTTCTTGGCCCTGAAGTCTGCAAGCAATAGCCTCTGTCTTGCTCACAGGTAATTTTTGGCCACACGGTGCAGTACTGGGTGCCTGGGCAACACTACAAGGATCAGCTCTCACAGGGTGTCGTATTTTCTCCCTCATATGTCAGTGACTAATCTTTCTTTCAGTACTTCTGGTTTAGGCCATTTCCACTTTGATTTTACACTGGCACTAAACCCACAGTCATCAGAGAACCTGAAGTTTTCTGCTACAGCTGCCAGTGTCCCGTATTACCAGAGTCCAGATGGCTTTATCACAAGCCTCCCACAGAGATGTTAGAGTAGCTGGCTGTCAGTTGGTGACATGAGACTGGCTACTGTAGAAGTTGCTTGTAAGTGGGGCTCACCTGCAGAAGACGTATGAGATGGTAAGGCTAGAAAATCAAGAACATCTCAAAACAAGTTACCTGGTTAACCTCAAAAAATCAGGCCCAAAGCAGTTATGAAAAGTCAATAAGATGTATGCCAACATCTTGTTTATTTCTTTGTTGCTAATATTTCATTGTGATATAAATAATTCTTTTGAATTAATAATTATAATTCCACTTTTGGGGGGAGGGGACTTCAGACCTTTTATGAGATACTATCTAGGAGATGATCTCTTCTAAGCAGCCCTTATAACAGGCAGGAAAAATCAGATGTAAGAGTAAATTAATGTGATATTAACTTGCTTCCAACAGCTTGTTAATGGAAGTGAATGCAATAAGCATCACATCCGAGAAGGGGGAAACTGTCCCCATTTGTACTGTTGTGCAAACCAAACCTCAAAATAAAGGAAGAGCTGCTTACCACAAGCATCCCTGAGCATGCCCGAACAACTGCAGTCTCAGCAGAGAAGACAGAGATGAAACAACACAAGCCCAAGTAAACTAGGCAAGAAGAAAAAGGAACTGATGGAAAAAAATGTAAATCATTAAGATAAGAATTTTGATTACACTTCCTAGGAATTTAGAGCCACACTGGGGCTGGTACAGCCCCAACAGTCCTCTGCGATTTAAAATTCTTAAGTATTTGGGTGAAAACCTGTCTTGTAATAGCAAAAAAACCCACCAAACCCAAAACCAAATAATACCCAAATAATTGCAAATAACTACCATACTGGCACATGGTGATAATCATTATAAGAATATTGCTAAACCATGTAAGATATTGAAAATATCATACTTTTACCTTTGCTCCCATTGTTACATACTCTCAGACTTGAAGAGAATGGAGAACCTAGTTTGTTATTTTGCTCAGATAAGAACAGTTATAAAAATAGATTAACTGTCAGTATCATGAATTAATATAACAAAAATACAGAGGCTCAAGTAATAGGCTTAGGCCATAAGCAAAGGAGCAAGAACACAAAGCTAATGGTTTGACCTGGGAAAGCATAGCCATATCACTACTGCAGAAAAATGCTTACCTAAAATGAAATTTGTATTTAATAATTCTGTGTGCTTTTAAAATCTACATTTTGTTTTGTTCTACATAGTGATAGCTTTTGATGTTAAACCATAACGTACCAGCTACAAAAGCTGATACTCAAGTTAAAAATCTACAGCTTTTAGTTCATGCTTTCAAGGTTTTTTTCTTTTCCCTCCTTTTTTTTTTTTTAAAGAACCTCTGAACGTCTAAATGATAACATTTTTCAAGTAGCTGCTCCTTCCCTGGAGTTGAACAAAATAGAAAAGATCAAAGTTAGTGCAATCTTGTTCAAAGGTGAAGAGGTGAAATCTTATGTGTGCTGGAGGATCAGAGCAAAGAGAATCGTACAATGCTTAGTGTGCGACACCTGAAGCCCACTTTCATCAAGGTACCTCATTTTCATCTGAATTCAGAATGTATCTCATTTAATGGTAAAATAAGGAACAGCATAGGATTAGCTTGGTTACAAAGAAGATAAGCCCTTGCTCAAGACTAAAAAGTAAACATCAATAAAAGGTGAAAGTGGTCAATTTTTTTTTAGAATTACTAAATTCACCATGTTAAATTCTATAGTCCTTCTTTAAGTAACATCTATATAATTGAGTAAAATGAAGCCATTACACCCACGATGTTTCAAGAATTACGATGCTGTTGATAGTTGAGTTTCTTGAAAAAACTCCACCATGTTTTGAAGGGGGTTGCAGAGAGGGACATCTAAAAAGGGTATGTTTTTTCCATAAAATCTTCATGTGACTGATGTGCCCTGACATAATGTATCACAATGAAATACAGCTGCCAAAAAAGAACTTCAAATTAAGCCCTTTTCCGGAGTAAGGAGAAAAAAAAAGTGATAAGAAAATAGGTACCTTTTCAGCAAAAGCTTTTAAAGCTTTAAAAGCACAGCAAGTAAAAAAGTAAAAAAGTTACCTTGATTTTGTCTAAGTAACCAGAAGCTAAATGGGGGGGAAAGGGTATGGAAAATAATGCTCCAGCCTCTGTGAGAATTGGAGACATCCTGAGCACAAGACACTGTTACACAGGAATAAAGGAGGATTTTAATGTCCTTATCCTACCTTGGCATTTTCAAACTCATGGAAGATTCACTTTCAAAGCATTGGGAATTGCGCTACATTATGCTAATAATGCTGGTCTGTTTTAGCATAAACCCGGACTTACACATGGCAAAGAGGTCACAAACATGCAAACGTTCAGAAGCTGAACAGTCACATTTCACTTTTTGCTTTTTGACGACATAGATTTTCTTTTGCATATGTCTCTGGGCTGTTGCTATAGGGCTGTCCTAAATTCCAACCTGTACTTTGCTGCCCAAAAGCAATAAGTATTACGTATATATTGCCTATTACAGGTCAAACCTTGACCTGAAAATCAGGTCTCCTCAGGACTACTATAGAAGTCTTTTATACACAGCCTTCTTAGGAGCAATCCCACACAGCTACCTGCCAAAGCATGTTTGTCAGGGATTCACTCAGCACATCCACACCCAAATTCCCACTTTTGTTTTCGTTCAAGCCTCACATAAACTCTGATAAAAAAAAGCGTTAAGTCTTCCAGTGTTAGGTCCAGAAAATGAACTGCTGGAAGCAGAGCATGTGCAGATGCCAGGGTCTGCTTGCTGGGCATGAACTGAGGTTCAGGAACAGAACAGAGACAAAGGTGATGAGACACTCAAAGAAGAAAAATAAAGAAAGCTCATGCAGGCTACCTCCAGCATAATATATGTGCATTATTAGACTAGATGCAGCTGAACCTGTCACCAAACTACTATCTCATACTAGGTCAGAAATTATGTCATTCAAACTTCAATACCTCCCAGATTGTCAATTGTCACACATTTCTAATGGTTTTCCTCTTGGCTACATAAACATCCACTTCCCATCTATCACAAAGTATGATCTAAGATACATATAAGCAGGTCCCAAAGGGGTGACACAACATGCTGGTTCACACATTTTAGCACAGGGCTTAGAGGAGAGAAATGAAGCTCTTATCATTTCCTCTTTATCTGTGTTTCAGGCCACCATTTCTTATTTTACATTTGGGGTGCAGAAAGAATTGATCTATTGTCCTACATGTATTGCCAGTCTTCTGCAGTTAATCTGAGGAGATAACTGTGAAAGTGCTGCAGGCAGACTAAATCTCTTGATGACAAGGAACCTCTACATGTTTCATTAGCAACATTACATTGACATATCTAAGGATCAGTCATGTTATGCAGCATGCAGTGGCTGACTTGCAAACCAAGATTGTGCTGCCTGTGTGTCTCTATGAGTTCGCTCTTGCATTTGGGTAACAAGTAGGCCATTGTATTTGCTGCTTTGAAAGGGCTCACCTGCTGGAATTTCAGACTTCTTCTGAAGTGCTCCACAGAACTGGCTTCAGGTATTTCCTTTAACCAAAAAGAATCTGCAGCGGTCAGATTCTTTCAGCAAACCTCCAAAGCTACCCCACACACCAATGCTTTATGTAAGTCATGAACAATGTGCTGCAAGCACAAAGATGGCTTTTAGTCACCAAAGACTATGCTGACAGCACTGTGTTCTGAGGCGTAGCTTCTCCTTCCTGCGCAACTGTCCCGTTCATCCGCACAACAGAAACACGTGGCCAGTCACTGTTCTGCTACTCGCGACAGTCTCACAAGGTAGGACCATAGATCAGATGTATTGTACTGTTATTGTTCCTGTCTGTATTTGTATTTGTTATGGACTATAAACCCTGATGATCCCATGAAGGGCTGTGACCATGAATCCCAATTGGCTGAGCAGTGCTATTTCATGGAGGGGCGAGTCCAGCGGTAATGAATTCAGTCAACATAATGATTTCAGTTTCACCGCACTGCTCCGCTTCCTGGGAACCTGCAGAAGATGAGTGACTGTGTCACAGTCATAAATTCAGACACATACAATGCTAAAATTTCTTACAGAGCTTTAAGTCCCAGTGAAATGTCAGACTAATAAATATGATGATTGTATTTGCTATTTGGCAAAAATATTAATCAACCTGGAAAAGTTAATAAAAATATATTCCTCAAAATTATGCAACAGAAATTTTTTTTTTCTCATTCATGGTTATATGAATGCAAAATGCCATGGATTCTTCATCTTTAATACCTAAGGGATTTTCAGGCATATTGCTTCCATAAAACTTGGTTCATCAGTACAGTACACAGCCCAGATATGCATATTTAATTACTCTGAAAGTAATTTACTTGTACAGATGGTGATATTAGAAGGTCTTACTTCAATTTAAATTACTTCTATTTGAAAAATAATGTTATTTTGCTATGAATCTTGAGTGAAGAATTCACTCTTATTACAGATGAATAATACTTGACAATTGTAATTAATCTGTGACTAATCTAATACTTCCTGGATAAACATTTTCTTTCCCATTTTACAAATCAAAGCATCCTCTTTCCAGGAGGCTGATCCAGTAGCATTTCATATCCAAACCTGCTTACTGGAAGGGACCACAGCATGCTTTTGGGGCACATGAATAAAAAGCCACAGAAGAGTTTGTTGAACACTCCCGAGACTTCCCAAGGCAAAGAGATGTTTCAAAATTTTTTGCATCTTTCTGTAAGATTAAGCAGGGATTAAAGCAAAAGGGTGCATTTCAGGAAAGTACCTACCAGGCACAAGATCTCAGGAAAACAGTGACTTGGTGTGAATATTGGGAGTTTGGGAGAATCTTTAATGGGAAAGGATCCAAAATATCCTGGGCAGCGAGCTCCCTCAGCAGCACAGGTAGTAGAGCCATGTGGAATACCCACCCCATCGCTGCTGTGGTCCCCTGCCTGCAACACCCAAATAACAGCAATTCCCAGGAGCAAACACGTGGCAGAGGTAGGGAAAGCTAGCAGCATATTGCATTAAGTCTTACACACTTCCTGGGAAAACACATCTGCTTCTCAAGTGAGATTGTTTTCTTGTACAGCACTCTAAAAGGTCTACATGTGTTTGTTAGACTTCCTTCAGTGAATGTCCATCTTTATTAAAGCAATGGCTATCTCGAAGGGGGCTGACATGGTTGCTATGGTAAGCATTCATGTTTTATTGAAGACTAAATGGCCACAACCCACATAAAGGGCTCCCGAGTGGCCCTAAAATGTGTTCTGCCTTCCCTTTCCACCACCTTTCTCCTCAGGACAAAACAGTTTTTTGACAGCTGATCTGATTTTGAGAGCCTACCCGGAATAAGGCACTTTGTCCCTTCTATCTATGTAACTTTAACCTTGTAGTCTGGGTTTAACGCAACAAACCCTGTGGAACTGATTCAGAGAGCTGGAAAGCACCTGAATTTCCCACAGAGCTTTTGGAGGAATTGGAGATGATGGGTGAGCTGAGCCGCTGTAAGACTGCTAGAATTACATGCCTTTGTCACATTAAAACTGGGGGACAGGGGGCAGGGAGGAAATATCGCACTGACTGGACCAGCAATGCTGCACAGCCCAAGCTGATCATACAGCCTGGAGTGCAAATGTTTAACCCAGGCAAGGTAATCTGGGTGCTGGAGGAAAGAAAAGGAACAGGACACATCACCCCACAAGCAAATCTGCTCCTGCTATAGTAAAGGGGCTGTGTGTCTGGCATTCAATTTACAGATTGATTTTCTTTTTATTTATCCTAATTAAGAAAAAACTTTATCTCCTTTGTCTTGCATATATTTACACAGAATTTTCAATAGCACCTTTTTCCAGGAAATCTAAGCACATTTGCTTTCACTGAGTATAAAAAGGATGGTGGTCACATTCACATTATCCAACCCACTGCTTCAGTCTCTGGGTGCCAGAATTGCACCAAGCGGTGCCTGCAGACACTCCTTGCATTCCTGTTGTGCAAGGAATGTTTGGAACAGGGCAGTGTTCCTGGGCTTCTTATCCCTAACATTTCAACCACGCTTTTCTCAAAGGCATTTCTCACCAAGTGTTATGTCTCTTGAAGGGAATGTGATCCTTACATGTCCTCTTCATAGCCTAAGTGACCCCACAGGCTCTTCAACACAACTACCATCCCATTCCTCCAAACACACTGGCACACTGGCTTTAACCCTTCAAAGACCCATGACAGTCACGTGCAAAAGCCAGAGGTCCAGCATCGGATCAAAGTGTGCCTGCCCAGGCACAGGTGCCGGGTTAGCAGCTGGTGGTGAACAAGCTGGGGAGGGCAAGGATGGCCCGTGTCTGTAGCCAGAGGGTAGGTGGGGAGGCTGAGGTTGTAAGTAACAGTCCTGTAGAAGTATAGGAATGAGGGAAGGTGAGTCAGGATTCTGGAGAAGAGGGGGAGTAAATAGATGAAAACCATAGGATGGCTGCGGCTGAGCTGCTCTCAATTACGATATTTCTCTTTTTAAGTACGCCCTTTTAAAGCATGGGAATTCAAGGCTCCAGTTTGTATTTTATAACACAGAGCCAAAAGCCCAAAACAGAAGAAGCATCTTAACAGTTCTGTCCCTTATTTTCATACAAATTCACACACATGAACTCATACGCATATAAAGTCAGCCTCAAACACAAGATCCATGGTAAGTTTTTCAACAAAATAATCCTTTAGACACTGATAAATCAAGCAACAACAACACAGGGATATCATAGCATCGCTAAAAATGTCACCACAGTTAACAAGCCTGCTTGCTTCAACAAAAAATATTGGTGAATAATTATCCGTCAGTTAGCACGTTAAGAAAAACATGAGTGGTGCTCCTTGCCCAAAAATGATGGGAGTGGAAACATTGTTTTCTTGCCAGGTTATTTTCATTTCAGGAAGAGAAATAACCAGGGGAAACATGGAGAGAAGACTGAATAACAAGAAGCAATATGAGGGAAAGAAATCCTTCATAATTATGCCAGTGCCTCTGCCTTTCTCACGATCAGATTCCTCTCCTGTACCACACTGCGCCAAACCACTCACATGCAGGTTATCCACCAGATGAATCAACACAGTGGCACACGGATTCAAGTGTACATCAGAGGCACAGAGGCAGTGTTTGATATTGTATTTATGAACAAATAGGAGACAAGAGCTTGGTGGGGGGTTTTTTTGGTGGAGGAGAAGTAAGGGAAATAAGATTGTATGCCAGCTTGAGAGAAAAAACATCTCATTATCTTTTTAAAATTTATATTAACCACAGACTCTGTTCAGCTTCATTCTCCAAGTGATAAATTAAAACAGCACACAAGCAATCTGTAGATTTGTTTCTTTATCCATCACTCGGAAAATACAGTATGAAAGACTGCCTGCACTATTCCAGGCTCCTACATCCATCATAATGCTACACACAGGGGTAGAGGGGCTGAACTGGGGCACAGTGTGCTGCCTGCAGCACACAAAGGTAGCCCCAGGTGCCAGCAGCCAAACATAGCCAAGTACCATCATCCCAGCCAAGTACAAAACTCCTCCCTAGCATAGGAAAAACTCCATTTTGGGCAATCTCACCATAGTAATTCCTTATTTTACTTTGCTAAAGCAAAACCAACTGATTTTGTTCACAGGCCACCAGGTGCGACCACAAGCCATCACAACCTCACAGCTGCCTGGCAATTTCCCTGAAAACAGCCCACGAAGACTTTACTTTTGTTCAAAACCACTGCTGATGAAACACAAAACTTTTTTTCAAACAGCTCTTAAGTTCTCCCACCAATAAACATCTATTCAACAGGTGGTAACAGAGAAAGGACCTCTAAAAAGCCCAAGATCAAAAGATGACAAAAAGAGAGAGCTCAAAGTCTCAAGTCCTAGGCCCAATAATATAATTCATCCATTGAATGTTCAGCCTCTTCTTACAAAACTTATTAGCATAATTGTGTTCGACGGTGAAAAGAGGATGTCATGCCAAAAACTTCATCATGTCCCTTACCTTTCAAGAAGCAGAACTAATCCCCACTCATAGACAGGGCCTTGTATCCAGCTTGCTCCTGTCTGTAAAGTCTCCCCTGTACAACCTTTTTTTTCTTCTTTTATTTTTTCTTCTCTAAAATAGAAAAACCAGATATGGCAACCATTAATCAAGCAAGTAATAAACTTAATGTCAGCTGAGGGAGAAGATAGAAGCTGAGGAGAGGCAGACAGGACACTCCAACATATCTCTTTCTGCAACTGAATGGTATCTCATACAAGATCCTCACAAAGAATGAAAATTGTCATGTTTCAAGTATTTTATTGGTAAAAGAGTTGGTCAGTAGGTCATCAGGCACATAAAATATTAATATTTGCATATATACTGATATGCATATTAGTGACATGGAAAAATCTCTCAGTGACCCAAGTAAAGGCTGACCTAGGGCTTTAGAGGTTGGCTGTGTGATTTCAGGGGATGTTAAGGCCTGGGTGGAGTTAAATATGGACAATGAAATAAAACTGACTTCCAGCATCAGACCATCAGTTGGGTGGGACACATCCTTTAGAAAGCCACTAAGTTTTGGTAGTTATTCCACAAGTTTCAACAGAAATCTTTTCCAGTGCCTAATTACCTCCACTCTCAAAAATGTGCAATGTACTCAAGTTGTAGTTTTCCTGGCTTTAACCTCAATTATTTGAGGAGTTTTATATGTATTTCTGATATATCCTCAGCCATGTTACAAGTCTTCAGGTAGTGGGAATCTTCACTATACCTAGCTTCACTATTCCTTGCTGCTAGTTTTTTATTATAGACTCAAGTATGTTCTATCTAGCCTCCTCAGAGGAAAAAAAAGCCTTTTTTTTTTTAATTAAAAAAACCCACTCAAACTCCAACACTGTCAGTGATATGAAAATGAATCATTAGATTTAAGATTTTTTTTTCCCTTTGTGTTGCTTGAATGTGTAAAAGTGCTTACAGCAAGAGAGGGATACAAATTTCAGGGGGAGGGAATGAATGCATGGTTCAGAGAATGGGTATGTGTGGGTATGTGTGTACCAGGGGGTCACCTGGGGGTGTATTTGCCTTGTCTGAGCACATAATATCATAGTACTATGGGCAAACTGTACAAGCCCTGTGTATTCCCCTAAGCAAACTTTGAAAACTTAAACCGCAGTAAATTATGGGTTTCGCAAAAACTGAAAATAATCAGTTAATCGTAATTGAGACTGATTTTATATTTGAACTGAGTGTTCTATCCCAACCCAAATTTTTACTAAAATCAATCACCTGATGTTTCTTAGATTATCTATATTACAGATGCCAGTATGAGAAATTAGCTATTATTATTATCATCTTATAAATATATAAATTAAATCATGAATTGTACATAGCTCTATATATAACATGTCCCGGTGACACTCACTATTTTTCTTGTACAAAATGTCTGTAAAGTGCCTGGCCTGAGACTTCTTTAGCTGGCTAAAAAATAATCAGTTGCAGAAAGCTCAAACTTCTGTCAACTGTATGAAATCAGAAGGCATAAGGCCATGCCCCTCAGTATTTTGATTACATGGATCAGGAAAACAAATTTCAAGAATTAACAGTGCAAATTTTTAAATATGCCAAAGCACAGTAATTCTAAATGCTGTTACAAGTTGAAGCAAGGGAAAGGTGTTGCTTTCAGATTTGGAAATGCCTACTACAATCTAACCTCTTTGTCAACACATTTGCAGTTTTGCAACATCCATTTCTAAATGAAATACCTTATGGAGGAAACCAAAAGGCAGAAAACTAAAGAAATAGGGGTCAAATTCCTTCTGTGAGATCTACCTTGTAAAATTATCCAGAATGTAATAATACCATGTTATTGACTTAAGCACAGTTCCCTGTGACATGCTGCAGCTGACCTGTAATTTTTATCCTACATGTTGCCAGCACTATTAAAATGACACTTGTGAATGTAAATTAAGCTCACAAAGGGGACAGATTGTATGATTCTGGTTTCTCTCAGATGCCTGTAGGCTATCACAGGTTCCATATGTGAAGTAATTATGTTCACTGAAGGAAAGAATAAATGCTGTCAAATTGTGTACTGAGAGAGAAAGCAGCTATTATATTGCAGTAGTCACTGGAGCATTGCCTTAGAAAGTGAAAAGATGTATAAGAAAATAATAAAAAAGAAAAACTGGGGCAGAGCTATATTAAATATAACCTTTAAATGAGTATCTGCTTTTGAATATATATTACATAAAGTTAATATTTCACAAATAAAAGCATTTCACCTTTTTAATCATGTTTTCTTTCTAACATCTAGAGGGCATAGGGCAGAATATTTATCAGAGGGGTAAAGGACAGATGGAGCATCTTTCAGCTTTCTGTGTTTCCTCAGGAATAGGAGCCCTCCACGGCCCCAGAGATGCTGTCCCCACTTCCTTCCCCACCACAAACCTCCTCCTGCAGGAGCTGTGCAGTAGTCAGCCTTCCACCCCAGCAGGTGGAGGTGTCCCAGCCCTCAGCACTGCCTTCCCACCCCATCCATCCTTTATGACCAGGTCCAAACCTACACCTTCTGCAAGCCCTGAGCAAGGGCATTAAGGCTGGGCAAGGGCACTGCTGAAGACACCCTCCCCTGGCTGCACCAGGCTGCAGCAGTGTTGCAGAAGATAAGGCTTCAATCATGGAAGCCAATATAGCTGCTAAAAGGAAAGGGAACACTTCCCTCATCTCCACAGCTGCAGTGCAGTCCTGCTCTCCTGTACCTGGAGGAGGTGAGCCTATATTTAGACCAGTGAGGTCTTCAGTGAACAAGAGGGGAGAGAACACTAAGCTGGGAAAGTGGCACTTTTAAAATTTTTCACTTAGAGGGAGCCAAGAACATCAGAAGCAAGGAAATAAAAGTTCTGAGTCTACGTGCTTGTGTGGGTTTGGAAGTTCATCCACAAAAGAAACAAGGAAAGAAAGGAAGTTAGGATGCTTTGGAAACAGCCCTGGAAAACACGAACAGGAAGGCTCATTTTTTGACGAGAGGGTAACTATAGATATAGAGCTCATGAAGGAGCCCACAACACTAAAAACAGAAGGCTGAATGCTTCTGTATGTTTTCATGGTTTACTAGAATAGCATCACTGGGCTTGGCACTCTGGAGCTTCCCATGACGATGGAAAGGGGAGATTTCTGCAGTGTCCCACTAGTGTTAGTTCTGGATCTCTGCAGCCTCAAGCCTCATGGGTTGCAAAAAACAGCCAAGAGCAAACAACTTCCCAACACAGCTGCCCTCCACCCTCTCCAACCACCTGTGCTGTTGTTACCTGCTCACCTGCTGCTAACCTGACTACCTTAATAGCAGCATGTGCTTAGGCCAGGAGAACCAGCTGCTGAGCTGCACTCAGGCAGAGAGCTGGCTGGAGATAGGGCACAACACAGTTATTAGCTACCCAAACACTGAACCCCTTGTGTGGCCCAGATCACGGTCTGTCTGTGCTCTTCTGATATTCAAAAGCTATTATGCCCAGGAGACCAAACCTTTCAGACTGCTCCAAGATGTGAAGGCAGATCTTGGGGAACCAAGGCACCTGCTGAAGCAGAGGCAATGCCTGGAAACTCTCAAGCCCTCCTCCTTACCCCAAAACCATGACCTGCTGCTGGACAACACTGTATGGAAGCATTCATAATAGGTCTATGCAGGGTCCTTTTCCAAGTGGGTGATTTTCCTGACTGGCACCATCAGGTAATTAAGTCACGTCCATGGATGTGTCCTGATTCTGGACAAACACAGTTTGTAGGCAAAGTGCTGTTCTGCCTTGACCAACACCTCTCCCTGGAGTCCATGGGTAGGGGATCACTACCCACCAAATCCTCATGTTCACATTAGCAGCAACACAGCACAGTTCACATCTCTTTACCTAAATTCTCTCTAAATGGTGAAATAGGAGGGTTACACCTGAGTTGCCCATCAGGAACAGGGCCTGGCACATACTGTCCCTGCTCATCCTCCAGGTGCCCAGGAGCAGGGTAACAGCCTGCTACAGCCCTGCTCTATGTTCACCTTGACTGAAAGGGTTCCCAAATAACTATGGTTTCTCTACACTCGCCACCTCCGTTTCACTCCCTGGCCGGGCACCTCATCCATGCTAACACCCTTCTCAGCAGCACCAGGCCCCGGCAGCAAATTCCCCTCAGGGATCCTCAGCAAAACCAACTAACTGCCTCTTTTTTCAAGGCTGGCTTAGTAATGAAAGGGCTATGAGTGCAGCCCAGCACAGTGTCCAGATGCAGACACAAATGCAGAGCAAACTCTTCCATCCCATGCACCAGACCTCCCTTACAGCTCACACTGGGTTCTGCAGGCTTAAAAAGCTGCTCTGTAATTGCTATTCCTTTCCACGTATTCACACTTGTGATTAGGTGGCTAAAAGACAAGGGGAAACCTACTGAAGCAGAGCACAATTTGAGCACTGGCAGAAGGCTGTGGGGACAAGTCCTCCTTCAGGCCCCACAGCCATGCCCCCATGGCTGTCACCCCACGGTGTGCAGGGGCACAGAGCCCTCACCTTGCCAGCCCTGTGCTGGCAGCCTGCAACACATCCCCACATATATCCCCCCAGCCCTGGGGAGACATGCACCCTGTGAGAGAGTCCTTCCCAGGCAAGTTCTCTGAGTAGAGGGTGCCTGTGAGTAAATGAATCATCGCATTGTGCAGACTATTAATACCAATTGGTCACGGCTGGGTGGGCAGTGCGATGGGCAGACAGACAGCCTGCCTGCTTCCAATTAAACACAGTAGCAGTCATACAACATGCTACTGCAACTTCTTTAAAAAAAAAAAAAAATTGAAATCAACTACCATTTCCTAAGCAGCTGAAAACTATTAAACAACTGTTTGCAGGGTAGCTCATGTCATACGTGGGAGGCTGAAATGTAATGTAGAAATGAGAGGGTTTTTCCTAGTTGGCAGCATTGACAGCAACTATAATGTATGACTCTTTCGGATGCAGCGTGGCAGAAGCAGAGTGAGGATCATCCAGTGCTATTCACTAGAGAAATTGTTACACATAAAGAGAAGACAGAATCAAAGATCTCAGGATCATGGCAGAAAGGAGAGACAGAGGAAAAGAAGGAAAGATGTGGTTTAC